CACACACACACACACACACACACACACACACACACACACACACACACACACACGCACACACACACACATACACACACAACACACCCACACCCACACCCACACCCACACACGCTCACTTTTTCCGTTCTTCTGTCGCTTTTTCGCTTTCCCCACTTTTGTGTGTGCGCATTGCTATACATGGAAAGTAGCTATACATGATGTCATCATTGCCTCTACACTTATTGCCACTTCGTGCTCTGGAATGGTAGACTATCGTGCCAAGGAAATTTAGATGAGAATGTGGAAGAAGATGGCACAAAAATTACTTAGAGAATCGTACGCGGGTGACAACAGGGCTAGTGACAGATTGAGTCGGCTGAACACTTGAGAGCCTACAGAATCCCCTAATGCTTTGACCCCAGCTGTAATGGGCAGACAGGTCTATGCAGGTAACAAGGTAGACAGCAGCCAGGCACGCGAACAGGTGGGCAGGCAGCAAAGCAAGAAGCATAAACACAGGCACGAGGGCGTGGGGGGGGGGGCGCATGTGGGTAGGCAGTCACCCTGGGGGAAAAGTAGCAGGGCAAGACAGGGAGCAGCAGCAAGGTAGATGGGAAGGAGGGCAATCAGCAACACGGACAACAAGGCAATCTCTGTTTCTTTTTTTTCACAAAAAGTTGAAAAAATACCATGCCCCATCTATTCTGGGGGGCAGCAGTCCGGTTGCTTATCACTGCAAGCATGAATCAGATATGGGCAAAAGGGAGAAAGAGAGAGCGAAAGATCGACATATCCCTTGTGGCTCTAGATGCCATCTAAGGGCGGGTTTGGTAAGCAGGGATCCTTCCCCAAGTGCGGCCTTGCTGGCGGGGAAACTTACCGGCAGTACCCAGACGCTCAGCAGAGAGGCCCCAAGCAAGGTCCTGTGTGAGATGGAACCCTGCTAGCAAATCCGTGATGTCAAACTGTAAAAAATGGAGAAATCCCAGGTTCTGCTTATCCAGTTCGTGGAGATGCCATATGCGCCTAAATTCCCATGTTTCCTGATTTGAAAATTATACTGCTTGCTAACTGTCTGCTGACTAATTGTGGGTTTATGCCCATACCAAGGGCCCTCCTGCCCTCAACCGTAGTAGCCACGAGTGCTCAGATCCTTGAAACCCCAAAACGAATGCCAAACTACATATCACGTGCTATTCTAACTATATCGGATTACGGGTATTTACTATTTAACAAACGACCGGGCGTTTCGATATCTTACCCCAGCCTCTTTCTAAATCCAACACACCCCCCCCAGCCCTTATAGTACATCAAACCACTTTCTTCTTCTTTTTTTTTAATTTTAATTTGGACCATTTCTCGATTTATGCGTGTCATCCTTGCACAGGGACCATGCTAATCTTCTCTGTATCAAAGCACTTCCTAATCCTACTCTATTTGCATACTCTACACTGTGTCTACAGTAGAATGCTTAACTACTGTACACTAAGGTCCACTTCCTGCACGAGTTGCAGGATCGGACCAAATAGAATCTGGCCCGTGCGCGGGTTCCTAACTACTAAACTAGGGTAGGGATCCCACCTCTTCCAAAACCTATCCATGCCCGTCTCCCCCTTTTGCTGGCACCTTCTAAAATCCACAGTCAGCACTCAGCGGATATTCCCCATCGCCCTTTCCTGTATCTTTCTCAGTGTGGGTGCAGCTCCTTGTCTCGCGCACTCATTGCAAATAGTCCATATTGAAACGGTATTCACCAGTTCGCAGTAGCTGATGCAGATCCCAGGGCTCGATCCCTAGTACCCACCTTACCTGTGTACAGTACCTGTGCTGGCCCGTGGAGTTGAACCCGCGACCTGTGTATTTGTAACAGCTGATACGTCGTAGTAGGGTCCGTAGGTAGCCTGGGTTTGATCTGTAGACCTGTCGGTTAGGAGTCTTAGCCAGGCTTAGAGGTCGTAGCCACAGCTTTTCTGAAAGGTCAAGGTCGTAGCTAGTCCAGTCCTGAAAAGTCAAGATCGTAGCCTCGACAGGACCGAAAGGCCAAGTCCACGGCCTTCTAGAAGGTCCCAGTGGTGGCCTTTCGAGGCTGCCCAAGTTTAGGCAGAGGCAAGTGGGCAAGTGGTGGAAGTCCACCCTGCAGAGTCAGCAGTCCCAGTCCAGTCAGTCCGGTCGAGTCAAGCAAGTACCGCCTGGGACTGTGTGCACCATGGGCCCGGGAAGCAAGGGCAGACCAACGAGTCACAGAAGTATAAATCAAGAGGCCACGCACAGCCATTCATTCATTCCTGCGGAAGCCATGCGGAAGCACTGTCTCAGCGGCTTGTGCGAGGAGGTCTGCAGTGACGCCCGAGGACGAAGTGGGCGAGAGAGACGAAGTGCAGCCATAGCGATAGGGTAGCGGCAGCCATCGCTGCCATAGCTGTAGTTTAGAGTGAAGTGTGTGTGTGTGTTGTGTGAGTGTCCAGAGTGGTGCGTGTGGGATATCCAGGGTGATCCGGTGTGTGTGAACAGAGTGAGTTGTTGGGCGCCGAGTCGCCATAGCCAGTGGAAGTGAACTCTTATCTGGATGCCATATCTCTGAGTTCTGTGTGGGCGCATGTCGCCAGTTTGCTGTGATGCTGTTTACATGCATGAAAAGTGTGAATGAGGCGAGTCTGATTGCAATATGGCCGATAGAATGGCCACTCTCAATGTTTCCGCAGTCAGCATCGCCTCCGGTGTCAACCTGTCTTCCCGTGCCATTGCCCCAAGGAGGATTGCAGATGTGTCCTCCTCTGTGACCTCGAGCGGGCTCTGACCTGCTGCGTTTTGGGCCCACCATGCCCAGAAGGCCTGCACCTGAGGACAGTGGACTAACAAATGAGGAATGGATTCCACACTTCTGCATCCAGCTGCGCACAGTTGATTCATGAATCTGCTCTTGGGCGCCTGCCATTGTGCCGCTGGGATCGCCAAGTGGAAGATTTGCCAGAGGAGGCCAGCCTGTTTCTGATCAGGGAGGGCTTTCATTAGCTTGCATTGCTCTTTCCATCTCCTGAATGTCCACCTTTCTGTGTAGACGCTCGGCAGCCATTCCCTCTTAGCCCATCTTCCCTTCAACTCGTCACAAATGTCGACCTCCGGTACCAGCGACCTATAGATTTTTTTGGTTGTCATGTGCTGGATCGGGGTCTTCTTCTTGTGCAGGTTCTGAGTGGGCCACGTCCATTCCTGCGGGTGTAGGACTTGATCTCTCCTCCGAGACGCCAGCCGAAACTGCTTACCGTCTTTGCATACTGTGACTGTTTCCACCATGCTCCTTTGGATAGATCTTTTTGTCGGCCACCCACCTTCCCCGATTGTTACATACTGAACCTGCACACGGGCCCCATTTCGGGGGCCCGACGGTTGCTGGCGGCCCCCAGGCCGCATGCCCCTCAGGCGCGTGCCCTGGAGGCCCACGGCCGGCCTTAGGGCCGCAGGTTTCGATTTGAGGTAGCATTCATGTATTTATTTATTTGCGGACACCCCCTGCTGCATCAGCAGGGAGGGCCTGGACGTCCGGTAGGGACCCAGGCAGGCCATGTTTTGGGTTAGGCACGTAGTGTAACGAGTGTGAGGCTGAGGGTGAGCCGAGGGAGAGGAGAGAGAGGGAGAGAGTGAGAGCACACACACACACTCACTCACTCGACACGACGGACTCGGACTGAGGATCGGACGCAGACACAGTGGCAAGGCACAAAGTCGAAGTCTTGGATTCCGAATGCTGAAACAGCAAGTCACACTGAGTAGGAGTACAGCAGCAGAGAACTGGTACGAGACTGGTCCCCGTACCATCGGGGGAGCCGGTATAAGTACCGGTGACACGTACGGTACCAGGGGCATTTCTGCAAAGGCCCTGAGGGAAGAACTGAAAAATGCAGTATTTGAAAGTGGCGCCCGAATTGCAGCATGGCGCCAGTTGTCCGAAATCCTACGGTACCAAAGGAGGGGTTTGGAAAAAGGGTGCCAGGCCGAAAACGGGATGCAGCCGAACCAGCAAAAGATAGACCAGGGATCGAGCCCTGGCGAAGTCCGTAACACGGAGGCACACCCGCAAGGCCCAGCGCTACTTATAGCTGGGCCAGGCCAGGGCAGACACACAGTTCGAGTAGCTCACTTCTTGGGCGACACGCTGCTGGAGCAGCACGACAGCACTACGCTAGAGGTAGAGGTGTAGGTAGGCAGTGAGGCGGAGGCCATACCTGCATCGGCGGAGATCTTACCTGGGCGCCATACCTGGTCTTCGCGTCAGCCCCCTGCAGCACAGAGGAGACACGCGGCAACAGTTAGTACCTGGCGGCAGTTACCTGCAGGTGAGATAGCGAGGAGGATGACATCTTCCTCTTCTTCTTCTTCTTCTTCTTCTTCTTCTTCTTCTTCTTCTTCTTCTTCTTCTTCTTCCGAGAGAGAGATAGAGGTTACAGGCAG